TATTTATTCATTTTTTTCCCCCCAAAGCCCCAGCAGATAGTTGTATGTCATAGGTTCACATCCTTCTAGTTGCTGTACGTGGGACTCGGCCTCGCGCTGGACGGAGAAGTGGTGCCTTGGGGCGCGCCCGGGATCCAAACCCGGGCCACCAGCATCAGAGCGCGCGCACTTAACTGCTAAGCCACGGAGCCGGCCCATACACAGGTATTTTTAAAACAACTCTTCTTTTTAAAAAGGAAATAACCTTAAAAATAAGCAGAGAGCCAAAGATAAGCTGCATTCAACTATTTATAGCTTTCAGATATTACTTAAAAGATGTCTAAAAAATCATACGGACTCTTAATAGAGTCTATCACAAAAGTCAACAAAAGCAGAGAAATATTAGGTAATTCAGTACAGTGAACATATTACACACATGAAAATAGACACAGAACATCGAGACGACTGGCTCAAAATACGATCATCAGTCACTCTAGGGGAGAAAAAAAAAATACAAATAGTCCTAAACTATGTTCTATTCCACTGAATTCCAATCCTCTTATAAGCCACAAAACTGCAAGGACTTCAACACATACTCACTATGCTCTTGTGTCACACTCTTTCCCTTCATATATTCATTCAACAACATGGACTAAGCAACGACTGTGTGCCAGGCAAGGTGAAGACACTTCTCTTGACCTAAAGGTGCTGTTGTCTTATTGGCTTTTCCTTCCGTGAGAGAATCTAATGGACGCATGTATTTGTCCACAAGAAATATGAGCTGTCCCTCCTTGAGCATTTGAGTATTAGTGACGTACTTAAGGGTAGAATATTATGATATCTGAGATTTGCTTTATAATATTCTAAGTGAAAAAAAGTTGGAGAATAGATAAAATAAGAATAGTAAAATGTTGAAAATTATGGAAACTATATGATAGGCACATGAGGGTTCATTTTATCATTTTCCTACTTTTATTTTTAGAATTTTTCATAATTTAAGGCATCTTAGTTTGCTAGGGCTGCCATAATGAAATGTCACAGACTGAGTGGAAATTTATTTCTCAAAGTTCTGGAGGCTAGAAGTCTGAGATCAAGGTGTTGGCAGGGCTGGTCTCCTCTAAGGTCCTTCTCTCTGGCTTGTGGATGGCCATCTTCTCCGTGTCCTCACATGGTCCCTTCCTCTGTGCGTGACTGTGTCCTAACCTCCTCTCTTATGAGAACACCAGTCATATTGGATTAGGATTCACTCATATGATCTCATCTTACCTTAATTACCTCTTCAAAGGCCCTATCTCCAAACAGAGGAAAAGGGTGGTAGGTCCTCAACATACGAATTGGGGGAGCAGGGACACAATTCATCCCATAACAAAAGGTAAAATATTTAGAAGTGATTACTACCTGATATGATCTGGTGTTGTACCACAGCATCCACCAACTATATTGACCAAGCCATCCATAGCAAAGTCCTGCATTTAGGAAACAGAAAAGTTTCAGAGAGTTCATCTGAATTCTAAACTCACTACTACCAATTCAGCAGAAAAAGATCTACATTTACTGAATAACTAATATTAAAACAAAAAAGAGAGCTAAACATACTTAACTCTAGATACAAAGCTTTCACATGCCCTAGATATAAGGTTGAAAGCAGAGAATGGTTCAAATACCATGAAATCCTTTACACCATTTAAAATGCAACGAGATACTTATTTGCCTATCTGATCGTAATAAAGACTTTTTTACCCATATGCTGAGCTGAATGAATGTGAGCTGGATAGTGCATTTTCAAATAACACATGAAGTGAGTATCAGTTTTTAAATTTAAATTAATTTAAAATTTTTAAAGAATTAAAAGTTCAGTTCTTTAGTCACAATAGCCACATTTCAAGTGCTCCAACAACTACGTGTTGTAGTGGCTACATATTGGACAGTGTGGGTCTAGAGTTTAACCCTAGACTAGTTAGTGAAAGACAATAACGGAGAGGAGAAGTCAAGGAACCGAGGAGTCAGAGTATTAGAAAGATCATCTACTAGATAAGGTACTGAAATCATAAGAATTAAGTCAGAAATTGTCTAGGAGAAAATGTCAGTGAGCCAGAAGCTAAAAATTAAGGAATGAGGAAAAGAGACCCAGAGGTTAGTAATAAGGAAGGGTAGTGAGTAGTGTTGTCTCATGACCTGGGATTCAAAGATGGGAGGTGTATGGGAGAGGCGGTGTATGGGTGACAATGGGGAGCAAGGAGGACACCAAGTCTGCCCAGCAGTTTTGCGGGGGGGACCACCACTTGGGAAGGCTGCAGAGGACAGCCAAGTTCAATTAGTTCTGGTTGGACCTCACGGGGAATTTTCCAACAGCCACCAGTGCCAACTGGGAAGAAGGATGCTGACAGGTAGCCCCTCCCTCTGCTTCCACCATCTTAATTCAGAGGAGCTAAGCTTTAATTTGTTATACACACACTGGGATTTCTTTAGCGGAAAATTCTGCTTCTGAATATTCTAAATCTAAAATTCCAATTCTCTATTTCTTAAAAACCAAGTGAAAGAGGATTCTTGACCTTTAGATGCATGGCCATCATGTGCGGAGTTTCATCATAGTCACCAAAGGTATTGGGAAGACCTAAGAAAGTAATATTTCAACCATTACTGGAAACTACCTTAACAAAGAGACACAGTATTTGTAAAAGCTTTAGGTTTCAAAGCTATAAAATTTTATATTTATAATTAAATGATGATCACTTGCAAAAACAAACAATAATTCTTAATATTAAACATAGTAAATACAGAGATGCCACACCAAAAAAGAATCACAGGGGAAAATAAACATGTATTATTTCTTTTCCATTTGAAAGAAAAGAGTCACTACTATATGGGACAGAATTCCCCCACCCCCATCCTCTTCCCATAAGGGAAATTCATTCTTGTTACCTAGCTGCTTGGGGGTGGGGGCTGAGGGGTGGAGAAGTATTACATATCCTGTGAACTAACGAGTACCTGACATGCAATTAAAAACAAACAAGCAAAACACAACCAGTCTCCTTTCAAATAAATTTTCCTAAGTAAGACTTTAGCATCCAATTATCCAATTTCCTATTTTATTTATTATCCCCTTCCAGTTCTCTTACTCCTCGTGGGAAATAAAATTTATTGTGTGATAAAATGTATATATTTGGAGAAAGAAGGCTGGAAAATATTTACCTAAGTAGCTAAGCCATGCACAAAAACATTCAGCAGGAAATCTGGTTAACCCAAACTGGATTACCAATATTTAACTGAATATCTGAGAACTGTCTACAAATATCTTAGGAATTTTTGCATACAGTAAACCAGAAGTCCTAACTTTTAGAAAGGAAAAAGGTAACAACACACAAGGTTCATCAGCTCTTTTGTTAATACAGTGGAATGGAGAAGAAGGTTCCCTCTCCTCTTTGCACTCATCTCTTTGGCCATGTCCACATGGTGAGCACTGTCATCACTAGGCTCTGGTCAGTTACGTGACTAGGCTTCATTCCCTAAAGTTTTGTCCAATTTTGAAGCTTTCAGGCTGAGCCAAACTGTTCCTTCAAGTCTACAGGGAAATGATTGTCTAGACTCAAATACTCTTCACTTAGAAAATTCCTATTGAATGTCACCTATTACCAACACCTGAAAAACAGACTCTTTTAATCAAGACCTGTTGCCTTATCTACCCATGTCCTGCGTACTGGATTTCCCCAGGTGCAACTCCCTTGAAACACATACCTGCATTGGGATAACATAGGACATAAGCTGTTGTACATTTTCCAATTGTTTCAATAAAAGGTCTCATTTCAGCTGCACCCAGAGCACAATTTAAGCCAATGCTAGAAAAACAAAAAGAAGATATTAGAAGCACCACCTTTTATTCAAAATATTTATGAATATAAAAAGTTATGATAAAGAAATACATCTAAAACCAAGCAGATAATAAATCTCCTGATTCAAAGCATCTTTATTCAGCTACAGTCAAAGTCATCTCACTAAAGTCTCCTGTAGCACTAAATCTTTCTACCCACATCTCCAACCTCAGATGATCTTATAAATAAAGGACCCTGCCCATGAATGCAACTCCTTAAACAAGTTCACAGTTTAGATAACAGTATACTGTGAAACAGAAATGCCTTCAAACTATCACTGCTAACAAACATCTGATTTGAAAACAATACTTAAGAGAAAGAAAAAGGAAAATCTTGGAGGTAGAAGGAACATTAATGTTACATAACCATGTTGGGAGTCTAGAAGATCAAGACTTAGTCCTTGCTCCATAACTAACTTGCAAGATGACCTTAGACCTAGAATTTGCCCTCTTATAAATTAAGCTGGCTTCTTTATAAATTAAGCTGTATAACCAAGGGGCTCTCTGATTTGCAAATGAAACTTACTGTGGACTCAAATAAAACAGATCAAAGCAGAGCTGCGCTAACTGAAGCACGAGTGGAACGCCTGACACCCCTCCAACACTGCTCTCAGTGGGGGCCCCCGAGGCCTTCAGGAATTCAGGTATTAACTAAGAAGCTACTGGACTATGTGATCTTTTCTTTTTTTGTATTTTACTTTTTTCTTTTACTATGATTCCTAAGTGCAATGCGCTATACTAGATTAGACCCTAAAACATAAAAAGGACGTTAGTGGAAAAATTTGAAATCTGAATATAGTCTGGAGTTTAGTTAATAGCAAATATACTCTTAGTTTTGACAAAAGTACCATAGTTACATAAGATGTTAACACTAGGGAAAACTAGATGAAGAGTATATAGGAATTCTCTGTAGGATCTTTGCAACTCTTCTGTAAATCTGAAATAATTCCAAAATAAAAAGGTTATTTAACAAACATACACCCAACACCCATTCATGATAAAAACTCTCAGCAAACTAGGAATAGAGGGGAACTTCTTCAACTTGATAAAGAACATCTACAAAAAACCTATAGTTAACATCATACTTAATTATGTAAAACTAGATGCTTTCCCCCTAAGATCAGGAACAAGGCAGGGAAATCCTCTTTCATCTCCTACTCAACATCATACTGGAAGTCCTAGCTAATGCAATAAGAGAAGAAGGAAAATAAAAGGTATACAGATTGGAAAGAAAGAAATATTGTCCTTGTTCACAGATGATAAGATGGTATATGCAGAAAATCCCAAAGAATCAACTAAAAAACTCCTGGAATCAAATAAGCAGTTATACCAAGCTTGCAAAATACAAGGTTAATGTACAAAAGTCAATTGTCTACCTACATGCCAGCAATGAGCAACTGAAATTTGAAATTAAAAACACAACATGATTTACATTAGCACCAAAACAAATGAAATATTTGGGTATAACTCTAACAAAATATGTACAAGAGCTATATAAGGAAAACTACAAAACTATGATGAAAGAAATCAAAGCAGATCTAAATAAATGGAGAGATATTCCATGCTCATGAATAGGAAGAGTCAATATTGTTGTCAATTCTTCCCAATTTTATATACATTCACACAATCCCAATCAAAATTCCAGCAAGTTATTTTGTGGCTATCGACAAACTGATCCTGAAGTTTATATGGAGAGGCAAACAACCCAGAAAAGCTAATACAACACTGAAGGAGAAAAACAAAGTCAGAGGACTGACACTACCCAACTTCAAGACTCACTAAAAAGCTAAAGTAATCAACGGTATTGGTGAAAGAGACAAAAAGATCAATGGAACAGAATAGAGGGTCTAGAAATAGAACCACAAAAATATAGTCAACTGATCTTTGACAAAGGAGTAGAGGCAAACCAATGGAGAAAAGATTGTCTTTTCAACTAATGGTGCTGGAACAATCGGATGTTCATACTAGAAAAAAGTAATCTAGACACAAACATTACACCTTTTATAAAAATTAACTCAAAATGGATCATATATCTCAATTTAAATTGCAAAACTATTAAAGATATAACTATATATATAAAGATAACACAGGAGAAAATCTAGGTGGCATGGGTTTGGCAATGAGTTTTTAGATACAACACCAAAAGTAGGATCCATGAAAGAAAAAATTGATAAGCTGGACTTCACTAAAAGTAAAAACTACTGCTCAACAAAAGACACTGTTAAGAGCATGAGAAGACAATCCACAGACTGGGCGAAAATATTTGCAAAACACATATCTGATAAAGGACTGGTATCTAAAAATATTTTTTTTTAAATCTTAAAACTCAAAAATAATAAATAACCCAACCAAAAAAACAAGCAAAAGATCTGAAGAGACATTCACCAAAGAAGATATACAGATGGTGAATAAGTATATGAAAAGATGCTCCACATCATACGTCATTAGGGAATTGCAAATTAAAACAATGAGATACCATCATACACCCATTAGAATAGCTAAATCCAAAACACTGACAGCACCAAATGCTGGTGAGGACATGAAGCAACAAGAACTCTCATTTATTCCTATTAGGAAATCAAATGGTACAGCCACTTTGGAAGACAGTTTGGCAGTTTTTTAGAAAGCTAAACATAGTTTTACCATATGATCCAGCAATCACACTTCTAAGTATTTATCCCGATGAGTTGAAAACTTATGTCCACACAAAAACCCACACATGAATGTTCATTACTACTTTATTCATAATTGCCAAAACTTGGAAGCAACCAAGATGTCCTTCAACAGTGGAATGGATAAACAAACTGTGGTCCATTCAGACAATGGAATATTATTCAGTGATAAAAAGAAATGAGCTATCAAGCCATGAAAAGACATGGACAAGCCTTAAAGGCAAGTGAAAGAAACAAATCTGAAAAGGCTGCACACTGTATGATTCCAACTATATGACATTCTAGAAAAGGTAAAAACTATAAGAGTGAAAAGATCAGTTGCCAGCAGGCAGAGAGAAGAACGAATAGGTGGAACACAGGGATTTATAGAGCAGTGAGACTATTGTGTATAATACGGTAATGGTGGATACATGACATTATGCATTTGTCAAAACCCAGAGAATGTACAACACCAAGAGTAAACCCTTTGGTGGACTTCGGATGATCATGATGTGTCACTGTAGATTCATTAACTGTAATAAATGCACTGCTCTGGTAGGGGATGTTGATAACGGGGGAAGCTGGTGAGGGGTGGGCAGGGGTATATGGGAACTCTCTGTACTTGGCACTCAATTTTCCTGTGAACCTGAAACTGCTCTAAAAAAAAAAAAAGTCTAATAAAAAAAAACAACAACATAAAATGTTCATTCAACACAAAGAGTAAACCCTAATGTAAACTATGAACTTTAGTTAATAATATATTGATGTTGGTTCATATCATAATAAATGTATCACACCAAGGTAAGATGTTAGTAATAGAGGAAACTGGGGTTGGGAATATTTGGGAATTCTCTGTACTTGCTGCTCAATTTTTCTGTAAACCTGAAGCTGATCTAAAACAAACAAACATAATTCTGTGATCTCTGGTGCGTGACAGAGCCACATCTCAGGTAAGATTGCTAGGTCCTATACATGGCTAACTTACAACCCTTGAATAGACCCATTCAGTTTCACCATTTTACCAGCTGCACTTGCAACGCACTCTCTTAAGCTAACTTTTTCTTTTCTGTTACGCTATTGTCATCGAGACTCAATACCGGTAAAAACTAAAATTTTTGTAAATTATCATTACAAAATAAAATATTATCATTAGAAAGGATCCTAGACCTTTTCTAAACTTAGTTCCAATCCTAACTCATCTCTTTAATAGATAGGTGACTTTAGTTCCTCACTTGCTGAATGAAGAAAATAATGCCCAATCAGCTCTCAGGGTTATGGTAAAGTTTAAATGAAATGATATATAAAAATGTCTCATGAACTATACAGTTCTTATATTGCTATTTGCTCATTCTGATACATCCATCCTGCCTTTGCTTAGCAAACTCTGACTCACATTTTAAAAACTAGCTCAAATGTCACCTTCTCTACAAAGCTGTCCTTGAATCTCACAGGGACACCATTACTCCATCCTGTGTACTGCCAGATTTTTGTTCATACTTCTGTATAACACTTTATAGTTTATATTTTCGTTTACTTATGTATTTCTCCTAGTATGGACTGCTTCATATATGCCTGTATTCTAGGGCACAGAGTAGGATTTCAATAAATGCTTAATGAATTAAAAAAACAACAATAATAATAATAATATAAAGGTTCTGTCCCACTGTTCTTTGTTAACACATATACAGTTTGTGACAATCACAAATCAGTAAGCAATAGTTTCTTATACATTCACTTTTTTACATACTGTTTGTTTATACGTATATTTTTTTAATTAACATTTTTTTTTAACCAGACTCCTCTATACTGAGATCAATCCTTAGTACTATACTAGGAAGAAAACTAGGTAGGCACCACTCAGACTTCTAGACCTGGAGTAATATAAATAAGATCTGATCAAATTCTTCAATTTCTGGGCTGCCTTCTATCTGCCCCTTCAGTCCATAAGATTCATAACAAAATGGAGACCAAATATATTCTCTCTGTGAATGGGCTACAGGTGAATGCTGAAGACCTAGAAAAGATCATAGGATAATAACACAAAAAATTAACCACCGAGTGGATCAAAAGTCAGATTTAACCGCACGTTTGCTTAAGGAACAGAAAAATAAATTTTTGAACCTCGATAAAATCTCATCCTTGGATTCCTGCAAGTGAGGCAGGGGCAGGGAGGACATCTTCTAAGGGCACCCTTGAAAACTGTCAGCAAACTAGAGATGACATTGGGGCAATGTAGAGTTTTATCTAATATCTAGGGGTTCCAACCAGATAACAAATGAAGACTTAGTAAAAGGAGGTGGGGAAGAGAGAAAGAAAATGAAAGAAGGAATGCTCAAAATATTTGAGGAAAGACAAAAAATTTAAAAACAACTAGATAAAGTTTGTCTTCAGAGACCCCCACACTTTCCTATCTTTAGTTTTTCTGTTAAATGTTTACTGCCTCCCTACTATGTGACAAGGTCCCTACTATGTGCCAAGGACTCTATTAAGCACTAGAGAAATAAAGAAGATCAAGAGATTGCTCTTGAAAAGCTCATAACCTGTTAAGGAGCCAATCACAACTCAGTTCAATAGTTATTTTCTTAATTACCAGGCCCAATCGACGGTATAACAATACACTCTAAATTAACAGCAGCTTTTAAGAAATCACACTACCACATTAAATCCACTGTAAGATACACCCTGAAACTAGAAATATTAAAATTTTGAAAAAAAAATCACATAGTTGATAAAATGTGGTAAAATACAGTGATTAAGAGCACGCTCCTATCCCTAGACCCACTATTTACTTGATCTTGGGCAAGTCACAACCTCTGAGTCTCAGTTCCCTTCTCATTAAAACGTAAACAGCAGTACCTACCTCAAGGTGTTGTTACCAGAATTAAAAGATATAACTCACATAAAGCTCTTAGAACGGATCCTGGCACAGAGCAAACTCTCAATAAATGTCTATTACTATTATTTTTATGGCAAAATGTAAACAGAGTGCTCTGAGAAGAACATCAACCTGGCTGGTGAGAGAGGGAAGGTTCCCCGGAGAGGACTCTAAAGATGAGTCTTAAAGGCTAAGAAGGAGCTGGGGGGGGGGGG